CCTCATACAATACCTCATTTTTCAAATTTTGCAGTGGTACCTGTAAGTTCCTTATCTTTACTTCTCATTTCAGTTGATCTCTGAAGCATTAAAACAGAATAACAGAGGCTGACAGAGTGACTTTTCGAGACTGTACGGTTGCTCATAAAATTGCATTATTCATACAGAAAAGTTGCTTGACCCATGTTTAGTTGTATAACTATGTTTAATAATTCATTATTTTACATTTACTCATGCCTGGGTGGTGGTAATGCTTTTTGCATTAATGATGATGATGGCCCATTTCACTTAAAGGGCTGGAAAGAATGTTTGCACAACGCTATGTGTGAGAGTAGTCAAGCACGTGTTGCATGATGCAAATGCATCTGAGTAGAACAAGAGTCTACAGTCATGCTAGCTACTTTGTGAGGCTTTACTTAGGCACAGTGTTAGCATGCTAACATGCAGATGTTTAAGCAGGCGATTGTCATCATGTTCACCAGCTTAGTATAGCGTGTCAGCATGCTAACATTTGCTAATTGGCATAAAACAGAAAGTACAGCTGAGGCTGATTGGATTTTTTTGTGTTTTGCAGCTGTTTGGTCTAAGTATTGGATAGATTCAAGTTTTGACACTTGAAGAAAGATCAGGGGATCACCAGAGTCTTTAGGATACATCCTCTGGGGACCACGAATATCTGTGCAAAATTTCATTGCAAGCCATCCCAAAGCTGTTGAGATATTTCAGTCCAAAGCTAAGTGGTTGAGCAACTGACAGGCCGACATTGCCTCTACCATGACTAACCAACTTTGTCATCATGCCTTTTTACTGTGCAAGAGGCTGATCAAATAAAAAACAAACACTCCAGTATCTATTCCTGCATTTGGTCTATCAAATAAAGGCCCAAACATACACACAGTACATACTGTCTGGCCACGGCGCGGGAGTGATGGTGAATGTTACTGTTAACCATAGTGACAAAGCAGACAGAGATAACAGAAGAAGATGCTACCGGGTGCCAATATAGCGTGTTTACCATGTAAACTGGTAAACCTAATCCCAAGCATGGTTTCAATTTCACCTGCAGGCTAATCAGAAATGAAACCACTCTTTTCACAGGTGGTGGCAACAACTCCCTCAGCTGTGCTATCATTATGTTGTATAACAGAAAGAGACTTCTGTTCTTAAGGCCACATCTTCATAGAAATCTTACCAAACAGCACATGTGTGGTCTGTTGTATAACAAATGGGAATCAGTCAACCATTATCAGTCATCATATTAGATGGAAGATTTGGATGTGTGTGGTTTGTGACAATAGGGAAGTGATGCCAGCTAATTATACACGCATTGAGCTAACCCAGCCACCTGTTACTTTCATCTTATTACCTAAAAACTGATCATCAATGTTTCACTTATTTCAGTGCTCAACGGGACTCATAGCAGGACCTCTTTTCAATCTCTCATGTGAACAATGTTCTTCCAATGGGTAAGTATCAGTTATCTTTGTTGATGTATTGGACAGTATCAGAATTGGATTAATATGTTGTGACATGGCATTTTAAATTTGATCAGACAGGCTGCCAACCACAAGAAGTAAAAAATAAAATGTTGGTAGCAATTCCTGGTTGTATTATGAAGTAAAATATGCTGTACATCTCTTGCTGTCATTTTCAGTACTTCAAAAATAACACTGCATGTCTTGCTGAATGCTTGGCAAGTGTAGTATGAGTGTTTTTCTTAGTAACATAACTGTATTATTAATTTTCCACCTGCACACATTTCTCAGAGAACCATTTCTGTTTCTGTACAGATGTGTGTGGCCCTGCTGGCCCTGTGGTGCTGTCTCTGCATATCAACAGCTACCGTTTCTTACCCCAAAACTCTGCCATGTGATGTTAGTGACCTCAACGGGAGTGCAGTGATAGTGGACTGTACCGAGAGAAGCCTCAAAGAAATCCCTGGTGGCATCCCCAGAGAGACTACTAATCTGACGCTCACCATCAATCATATTCCTGGATTAAACTCCTCCTCCTTCCACGGCCTGGAGAACTTGACTGAAATTGACATGAGGTGCAACTGTGTGCCCATCAAAATTGGCCCCAAGGACCACGTGTGCACTAAGAGTGTGACAATAAAGGAAAACACCTTTACCAGTCTGAGGAGTCTGCGCGCACTGTATCTGGATGGCAATCAGCTCTCTAGTATACCCAAAGGCCTGCCTTCAAATCTGGTCCTGCTGAGTTTGGAAGTGAATAACATTTGTACAATTTTTAAAGCAAACCTCTCTGAGCTCAGGAATGTTGAGGCACTTTACCTTGGTCAAAACTGCTATTATCGTAACCCCTGTAATAAGTCCTATGAAATAGAGAACGGTACATTTTCACACCTTTACAATTTAACATTGTTATCTCTTAAATCAAATAACTTATCTTTTATTCCGCCTCAACTACCCACAAGTCTGAAGGAGTTGTATCTCTACAACAATAACATTCAAAAAGTAACTGATGAGGATTTCAAAAACTTAACTAACCTTGAGATTCTAGATATTAGTGGAAACTGTCCTCGATGTTACAATGCCCCTTTCCCATGTAACCCATGCCCAAATAATTCACCACTAAAAATCAGTGAAGCCGCTTTTAAAATGTTAGCAAAGCTTAGGACGCTCCGCTTGCACAGCAACTCTCTGAGATGTGTGTCATCTGAGTGGTTTACCAACACAACAGAGCTGAGAGTGCTTGATCTCTCATCAAACTTTTTGGGAAAAGAAATAGGAACCACCAGCTTCCCACTTTTCCTGGGCAAACTGGAAGAACTGGACCTTTCGTTTAACTATGAGCTTCAGGAGTATCCTCGGACACTGATACTTAATCGTAGTTTCTCCAACCTCAGATCCCTTAAAATTCTCAGACTGAAGGGTTTTGTGTTTCAGGAGCTAAAACCAGGGAGTATTGCTCCTTTAAAACCTCTCGCACACCTGGAGGTTCTAGATCTGGGTACAAACTTCATTAAAATAACAAACCTTAGTATTCTGATGGAATTAAAAAGCTTTAAAATAATTAGTCTGTCAGACAACAAGATATCTTCCCCCTCTGAAGGCCAAGATGCTGTTGGTTTCTCAGGAGCAGAGCCCTTGAACTGGTCTCCAATGTCAGCTGCTGCTGAGTACCAAAGTAAGGAAGTGAGAGAGATTCATTACTTCAGATATGATGAATATGCACGCAGCTGCAAACACAAAGACAAAGAACTTGGAGTTGTTACATCCTTTGTCAAAAGACAATGCAGTCACTTTGGCAAAACCCTGGATGTGAGTAGAAACAACATATTCTTCTTGCATTCGAGATTTTTGAATCTCGGAGAGCTGAGATGTCTCAATCTTTCTGGAAATTTAATGAGCCAAAGTCTGAATGGTTCTGAATTTACCTATCTGACTAATTTAAAATATCTGGACTTCTCATGGAATCGCCTGGACTTGCTCTACTCCACTGCATTTCAAGAGCTGAAAAGTCTGGTCGTCCTGGATATAAGTAACAACAATCATTACTTTGAATCTGAGGGTTTGACTCATATGCTTAATTTCACTAGAAATTTAAAGAATCTCAAGATATTGCTGATGAATCACAACAAGATCTCTACTTCCACTAACACAGAGCTGGAGAGTCAATCACTTGAGAGGTTAGAGTTCAGAGATAACCGGTTAGATATACTGTGGAGAGATGGGGACAAAAGATATTACAATTATTTCAAGAAATTACTTAATCTGACTGTCCTCGACATCTCTCAAAACAACCTCAATTTCATTCCAGAAGAAGTGTTCAGCAGTCTGCCAGACAACCTGGCAGAGCTCCACATCAAAAACAACAAACTAAAATTGTTTAAATGGGAGAAACTACAACTAATCCATTCATTGAAAGTATTAGATCTCAGTGGAAACAGTTTAACTACTGTTCCACACATGCTGTCAGACTGTAGCAAATCTCTGGAGAAACTCATTTTACATAAAAACCAAATCCTAAAACTTGAGCAAGATTTCCTAAAGGGTGCCTACAATTTAAAATATCTGGATCTTAGTTTTAATTACATAAGGCACATTGAACAATCCAACTTTCCAGATGATGTTGTTAATCAGATGGACAAGCTGCTTCTGCACAACAACAGATTCTCCTGCACTTGCAATGCCACTTGGTTTGTGACATGGCTCAACAGGACCACAGTGACCATCCCCAGATTGGCCACAGACGTGACCTGTGCCGCACCAGGGGCACAAATAGGTAATCCTGTAATCTCAGTGGACCTGCTGGCCTGCCAGCACCACTACCTGACAATCATCCTCTACATCCTCATGACTTCCCTCGTCATCAGCTTCCTCACCGTGTCAATCTCCAGCCACCTCTTCCTGTGGGACGTCTGGTACATCTACCACTTCTGCAGGGCCAAGCTCAAAAACTACAGCCGTCTGTACTCCCAGAGCTCTGTCTATGATGCCTTCGTCATATACGACAAGGAGGATCCTGCCGTGTCAGAGTGGGTGATGAACGAAATGTGCGTTCATCTGGAGGACCGCGGAGACCACTGCCTTACACTGTGCCTGGAGGAACGGGACTGGATCCCTGGATGTCCTCTGATCGACAACCTCTCCCAGAGCATCCACAGGAGCAAGAGGACCCTGTTCATTCTCACCAACAAATACATTAAAAGCGGCAACTTCAAGACAGCTTTCTACATCGCCAACCAGAGGCTAATGGATGAAAAAAATGATGTTATCGTCCTGATCTTCCTGGAGAAAGTACCTTGCAACTCAAAGTACCTGAGACTGCGCAAGAGACTGTATAAGCGGTCTGTGCTTGAGTGGCCAACAAACCCTCAAGCCCAGCCATACTTCTGGTTCAGCCTGAGAAGTGTACTGGCGACTGAAAGTCACAAACAATACAACAATCTCTTCAAAGAGACACTGTAAATATAACAATATACTGTAATACTATAAAATAATGTACTCCTGTGTATGAGTTACAATGTGTGAATATTTCACCATTTAAATGTAAGCAAAAGAAAATTATGTAATATTAATGATTAAATAATGTGCAAATTTTAAATTCTGTTTACTGGAACTGGCTGACACTCCACAAATGATTAATATTTCCATTCTCTACATTCTCAGATAACAATGAAACTGCCAACATATCATGAAACAGGGAAATGAAACACGTACTTCCTCATTTCTCATGGTACTTCTGTCTGAGTCGTTGTGCGGGCTATCCAATTTGTTGGGTTTGACTTCAGTAACAGGGAGATTTGTTTTTCTGTTTGTTTGTTTTTTTATGTATATTGCATATTAGAAATAAAAAAAACAAATTAAGTAGGCTTTGACCTGTGATGAGTTGAGTGCACACGACGCAGGCACAGTTTTTTAAAAAATAGTTCATGTCATCTGAAAGACTATAAAGTACCAGATCTGAGGGATCAATACAATACATGCACAATGGTGAGTTTTATCAATAGCTTCTCTATATTTTTTAAACTTTGCTCACTATAAAGCGGAAAATAGATTTACATACTTCCGTTTTATTCATCAGACTTATTAGTCAACAGTAGTCATTGAGTTACTTGTTACCTGTGTGTGCTATAATTGAGTGTTTCAATATAATGATTTTGTGCTTCTGTGATTTTGTGCTAAGAACTTTATAACATCTGATAATACTTTGACTAACTCTGTGTGAATGTATTTGACCATTCATTTTGTCTGGCTATTCATATTATTAATTGAAAACTGTTTTGTATTTTTGATGAAAGAGTGTTCTATAATAATTACAGCACATTAAAGTTTCCTCACAAGTGTGTGGGAGAGAAAATGATACCATATCTTTCATTTTTTACTCTTACCTTTGATTTTTAGAGAGCAACAGTTAGACCCTGTTAGCAGTCACAAGATATTTAGAATATTTCAATTTGATATTTCACTCGCTGTTAACACCAAACAGCTTCAATGAAGAGCTGAAACAAGTCAATACAGAATATATATGGGGTGCTATCTCTAAGTGTCAAATTAAATAATTTTAACAACCTTAGAACTACTCATGAGTGAATAAAAGGGAAACAGGATGTTGAAGTATGACTATGAATATGACTATAATAAAAAAATACCTGTGCTTAGTTCAGTGCACTCAGGTGTTTTGCTGTTAGTCTTACTTGGTATGACTAGTAGTTTATGGTGGCTAATGTTAACAGATATTGTTGCAGTATCTTTTACAATTTACCATTATCTCCATTACTACCATTGATGTAACTTATAACTCTGACAAAATACCAAGAGCAGCTATTGGAGTGAGGGTTATTTCACTTACAAACTACTGCCACCTGATGGATACTGGTGGAACCATCAAGTTTTCAAAACTGGATCCGTTCACAATTTTTGAAGTCTGCCTTAAATAGTCAAATGTATATGACCATTGAACCTGGTTTTGTTTGCTGTAATCATACCACCTGATCAGACTGTAACTTTGGAAGATATCCATCTCATATGACTGGATTTCGTCTCCATCACTTTTGTTGGAAGTGCATTAGGAAGAGATCTCTTAATGTCCAGTATGCAGGAGGGATGATTACAGAAACTGCTTCAAGGCCCATATCAGCACCTGATTATTGTTTTAAGACAAGTAAAAATGTGAACCTATCCTTTAACATAACACAAAATTTAGGATAACTGTATTACAAGTTACTTCATTTGACTAATTCTGTTGTTTATCTGCAGGATGTCACATCTTGGATGCACTTGCTGCTGTTCTGCCTACATTGCCATTATGAGATCCAACCTGCCGCATGTAAACCTGTGTGGATGTTACCACAGTTCCCTTGTGATGTCAAGGCCTGCAATACCTCTGAGGTCGTATTTGACTGTAAAGGGCGCCATCTGCATGCAGTACCTGATAAGATAGCTAGTAATGCAACTGAGCTGGACTTATCAGAAAATTACATTAAGAATATTTCAGTGAATTCATTTTCAAAGCTGCTGAATCTGACTAAACTCGATCTCAAATGGGCAAACAAGAAAGAAGGACTGATCATTGCTGCGAATACTTTCAAAAATCTGACACAGCTGAATCATCTGATACTGACTGGCAACTGTCTGACACAAATTCCCAGCAATCTCCCTCTCAGTGTGGAAATCCTTGAGCTGAACACAAACAACATTACATTGTTGGATAACAGGAGCGTTGCTGGCTTAACAAATGTGACACAACTGTGGTTATCCAAAAACTGCTACTATTGGAATCCTTGTGGTAAATCTGTGACTATTACAGAGGGTATTTTTGCAGTTATGACCAAACTGCAGGTTTTGGATTTGTCCTTTAACAACTTAACTCACGTTCCCAAAGGATTACCTCCATCATTAAGAAGCTTAAAGCTGGGTTCTAACCAAATACAGTACATATCTGAATTTGATTTTTTTGGGCTATATAATTTAAAAACCCTAAAAATTCAAGGGAACTGTCCAAGATGTCAAACGGCTCCATATCCCTGTGTCTCTTGCCCAAACATTTCACTTGGTATCCATCCTCATGCATTTCACAATCTAACAGAGCTTGAGACACTACACCTGGGAGGAAACTCCCTGGATCATGTGAAACCTTCCTGGTTTGCAAGGATGAAGAAGCTTAAAAAATTGTACCTGTCATTCAACTTCTTGCTAAAAGAAATTACTGAGGAGGCAACATTTCTAAGATACCTTAACCGGCTAGAAAAATTGGATCTCTCTTTCAACTTTGCTAACAGACTCTACCCTACAACATTAAATCTTTCACAAGAGTTTTCAAATCTCGCGTCACTGAGAACTTTGCATTTGGAGGGTTTGGTCTTCCAGAATATTGGACGGGATACACTCAGACCTCTGTACGAGGTAAAAAATCTGTCTGCACTGAACTTAGGGACGAACTTTATTATTCAGTCCGATTCCACCATATTCAGCAAATTCACCCATCTGAAAATGATATACCTCGCAGAAAACAGGCTGCATCCCATTCCAGTGGAACAACCCCCATCTCCAAGTGACGGATACAATCAGAGGCCAGACCTTTCTATTTCACCTTTGAGGAAACCCCAACCTAAAGACTTTGCTTTTGAGATATCACACAGCCTTATCAAGGAAGAGTGCTTTGAATTGGGTCGAGTGCTAATCCTCAGCTCAAATAATCTGTTCTTCATTTCCCCAGAGCAATTTAACGGCTATGGAGATATTGCATGCCTCAACCTCTCAAGAAATGGCTTTTCAGCAGCACTTAATGGCACAGAGTTCTCTTTGCTCCCTAATCTGACATACCTGGACCTGTCATTCAATAGGATTGATCTGGCCTATGACAACGCCTTCAAAGAACTAAAGAAACTACAAGTACTAGACCTCAGTTACAACGAGCACTACTTTAAAGCATATGGTATAACGCATAATTTAAATTTTACAAAAAATCTGCCTGTTCTGAGGGTGCTGAATATGAGTCATAATGCCATTTCCACACTGACAACAAAACAGATGTACAGCGAATCATTATCAGAACTGCAGTTTACAGATAATAATCTTGGGACTCTTTGGAAAGAAAGGGATGGCTCATACAAAATGCTTTTCACTAATCTCATTAATTTGACCATTTTAGATATATCCCAAAACCACATTGCAAAGATTCCTGTTGATGTTTATAAATATTTGCCACGTAACCTCACCAAACTACGTATAAGCCATAACGGGCTTGCTGACTTTAGATGGGACTCGCTGAGGTATTTCCATCAACTTCAAATTTTAGACCTGAGCTTCAATTCTTTATCTGACGTGACAGGTATAAACTCAAACATCACTCAGACTTTGACTTTTCTTGACCTGAATCACAACCGTATTTTCCAGTTGGACAATGGATTTATAAAGGGTCCCAAAAGCCTTAAGACTCTTAGCCTTAGCAACAACAAACTGACCACCATCAATCAATCCACCTTCCAGTCCAGACCTGATAATCAGATTCAGACTTTGTTCTTGCAGGGAAACCCATTCCAGTGTACCTGTGATTTATTAGATTTCATTCTATGGATTGAAAAAAGTGAAGTAAATATCCCGAGACTGACCACTATGGTGACATGTCACACACCAGCAAACCAGAAGGGTCAAGCACTGATATACTTTGACATTAACCAGTGTGTAAATGACAGTCAAGCATTCCTGGTCTACATTGTCACAACTTCCTTCATTATTGCTTTTATGATTGTGGCAACTGTTGCTCACTTATTTTACTGGGACGCTTCCTATGTAATTCACTATATGAAAGCTAAGTTGAAGGGATACAGATCCTTGAGCTCACCAGACAGCGTTTATGATGTCTTTGTGACTTATGACACCAGAGATCCACATGTCTCTGAGTGGGTGATGAGAAATCTGCGGTTGAAACTGGAGGATGAAGGGGAGAAGCATCTTCCTTTGTGTCTGGAGGAGAGGGATTGGCCCCCAGGAGTCCCACTGGTGGAGAACCTCACTCAGAGCATCCGATACAGTCGCAAGACCCTTTTTGTCTTAACTGAGGACTATGTTAAGACTGGGGTTTTCAAGCTGGCAATGTATCTAGCTCACCAAAGACTTCTGGATGAAAATTTGGATGTGATTGTGCTGCTGATGCTGGAGCCTGTTCTGCAGCACTCTCACTTCCTGCGCCTGAGGAGGAGGCTGTGTGGGAAAAGTGTTGTAGAGTGGCCGAGAACAGCAGCGGCAGAGCCCTGGTTTTGGCAAAACCTTAGAAATGTTGTCAGAGTAGACAATCAGGTGATATACAACAAGACTTATTCAAAGTACTTCTCCAGCAGGTGAAGCAAGATAAAGATCAGCGATGACTGTCTGGGAGTAATCTGTGAATTTATTATATGGACAATGTTATGTTTTGGAAACATTGTTCTATAGAAATAAGTTTGTTCCTTCACAACTTTTATCAATAACTTTATGGCTGGGACTTAATATAAGACAACTAACGAGAGTTTTGCTGGTACAGATACAATGACAGATTACTGAATCTCTTGTAATTTGTGTGCAGAATAAATAAATAAATCCATTTCAATTATGTGCCATTTTGTAGAAGCAAATGTTTCAATCTGTTTTCTGGTCTCCGTCTAACCTAGAAAGTATTTTTGTCGTCAACATACAAAAGGGAAATTGACTGTATGAACAGAATGCACTGTAGGTTACTTCAATGCAAGCGTTTGCTGCTAGTTTAAAGACTATACTAATTTATTTCTTAATAAAAATGAAACTGGCAAGATTTACACATTCTTAATTTTCCACAGTCTTACAGAAATCCTGTATCCACGTTGCACGTTTGCCTACAGCTTCCTGCAGGTCCAATCTCTAACCTCTAAGTGAGTTTTCTATTGCATTGCATCCTGGTTATTACTTCAGTTGCCCACGTGGTGTCGCCACTGATACAGTTTTAATAGGGCACTGTGTGCAAGTTAAACCTAAACTTATTTTCCAACTCATTAACCACTTTGTAGCCTACATTTTGTTCGCTATGTGGCAAGTACAGGCATCTGGAAGCGGTGTAATGATATCCAAGCCTTCTCTCGGGAGAGGAGAAGCTTACTAGACTGATTTAACTCACCTAATCCGACACAGCTGGTCGCTGCTGACTAAACGCAGTTATTTTGGCTCAAATAAATGCCCAGACTCGCAATGCAGTAAATGTACATCCAAGGGTCGATCGCTTTTAGATTGTTTTTCGATTTTATCACTCTAAAACCAAAAACACGTTGGTACAAAAGCAGCGTTTAGACACAGTGGGCGTGACGTCAGGGGATTATTTGCATACTGCGCAGTATTTATAGTGTGATTGACGCTAGAGACATCACTCTGCCGCTGCGCCAACTAGACCTCCGTCCTGTCATTTCTCTGACCAAAAACAAAACCCTGGTGAGTGTGTATGTATGTGTGTGTCTCCGTGTCTGTTTAATCACATTGCGAGTGTATTTCGAGCCTGCTTTTAATTTAGCCTGGCTGTTGAATGATTTAGTCACGGTTCAGCGAGTTTTATTACATTTCTCCTCATCGTCTCACGTTGTCCTGGCTCAGCATCAAACGGTGTCAGCTGCGCAATAGTTGGGAATAAATGAGGAAAGACCGACACAAGAGCGTCACATTGTTGCTTTGTTGTGTGGTCTGTCACTTAACTGCATCAGTTTTTACTCGGCGTGTTTAATTTAATATAAAGTACGTGTTCCGCCTGTAATCTCAGGTTCATTGTTCTGAGGGGGATAAGTTAAACCCGGTCTGCTTGTCTAGGTGGCTTGAAAGGGCGGTGGTCCCTCAGCTGCACATACTGACTAACGAAGCGTTTCCCAAATCGGGCGATTTTTTTTTTGTGTGCCTAAATTTCAGTCTTTCTCGGCCCTAATAATTTTACATTTTGTAAATAGCCTGACAGGTTCTTAATTTAGACTCTTAATTTGTCCTATGTGCTCAGTGTGTTAATTGAACTCTATTAAAAGATGAACATAATTAACAAAAGTCTGATTTCTTGTCTGTTCAGAGCCTCTGGAAACATGGCTGACAAACCTGATGTCACAGAAGTCACAACCTTTGACAAGACCAAGCTGAAGAAGACAGAGACTCAAGAGAAAAACACATTGCCAACCAAAGAGAGTATGTGCTTTTCCCAATTGACTTAATCCAGAGCATTTTGTAGCTATGGTGGACAACCCTTAGAATTAATGACGGAAACTTTCTTCTTCCTCTTGCAGCCATTGAACAGGAGAAGACGGAGTCATCATGAAGACTGGTCCTCTTGTGCACTGTACATTCCACAAGCCTTGCCGTTTTTTTTTTTTTTTTTTTTTTTTTTTTTTTTTTCTTCAACCTTTTCAACATGTATTCCAAGCTGCAGAACTTACTAATTGACAAAACGTTGGCTGTGCAACCACACACCACTCACTTGCCTAGATGTCCCTCTGGTACAGTGAGGAAGTGTGGCTCAGTGTCGGTATGAGTTCCTGGTCACCCGTTTTACTGTGGCTGAATCTCAAGGTGTGTCATTCAACAACTGTGGGACCTACATTTCATGATTAGTAGTCCTGCTCTGGCCACCTGTGAATGCTCACAAAGCAAGCTGTGTTTCTTTTTGTAAAAATCTGGAATGCACAAGTTTGTTAAATATGCAAAATAAAAAATGTAAACTGACTTATGTGTCCTTGTTTATTCTATGCTGCAGGCTCTTGATACCAAAAAAGCTTGGATTTTTTTTTAAATAAAATATATTCCTATTTGTACATAAAATCCCCAACTGTGAGCCCTACAACTGTTAATGGCAATCCTGAGTTTGTTGCCCATCAAATGATATGATGGAATGGGAGCTATACAATCAGTTACTGATGTAAAGACATGAAATTTGACACACAGTTCTCTTGTAGACTATTAAACCCAAAATGGAAGTTGAGACTACATAGGTATGACTGAAGCCTGACAAAGCACTTGCTCACATCCTGGAATGACTACAGCTGAACCTCCTAGGATGTCTCCATATAGCAGACTGCATTGAACATATGTTTCTCTCTGGAGTCAAATTAACCTTTGACTCATCCTTCAAAGAAAATAAAAACAAACCTTCCCACCACCTTACTTTACATTAGACCAGCCATGCAGTCCCATATAATCCTGTACAGTACACTCAAAACTTCCTTCCTTGCAGCTGCACTAGGCCCATGTTCAGCCAACCCTGAGCAGGAGCACTTCCTCAGTCCCACCCCACTCTGCCTCCAGCTGTAGCTACAGCAGCTTCCCACTGTGAAACTGCGACAGAGGCAATTTTGAGAATTTCTCCTGCTTTAAATGGATCTCAGGTGCTGGATTAGGGCAGAATAGTGTATGTGTGCGGTAAAAATACTGTATAAAGCATGTGGCGGGTTATGTTAGAAACCCAATTTGCCATGAGAACTACTTGCATCTGCTGTCAACTGCGTGTCATGGGTGACAGGTACACACTGGATTTCTTTGCCTGAAGTAGGTTAAGGCTGATTGTTGTATCTGCCCTGAGGTCATGTGTGCATAAAAGACAGAAGCACCATAGCTTTTGCTGCTGGGCGAGACTGCAGACAGATTTATTGAATACATTCGGTGTACGCTCTGTTGTCTAAAGAGCTTTTTGCTGTTAAGTTTAATAGAACAAAATAAAGAAAATAATGTTAATGTAAATAAGTAAAAATTTGATAAATGACAACAAATTCACCCATTCAGGGCTGTGATCATTACATACTAGAGTGGAGTGAGTAATACTGCAAGTGACAGTTTTGCCTTAAAAAAAGCCTTGGTCTTGGTGACCTCACTACTTGGAGGCTGTCACCAAGTTAAAAAAAACAATTTTAATATCTATCTAAAGAGGAAAGAGAACCTGTTCTCTATCATTCTGCTTCAAACAGGCGACAGCTGTATCTCATGTGGGGAGAGAGAGAAAGAGAGGGGAGGGGAGCGATTACGTAACTGTAATGTGTCTATAGACCATAACTGCTGTGCTGAAACAACAACAATAGGCTCTGCTGAGGGACTGGCACAATTTCACATTCATCCTCTTTCCCATGAGGCTGCATTTAATTTGAAGTCATTTTTAGTATGGGAAAAGGGACATTAGTTTATTTTTTTATTTTGCCTTTTTCAGAAGCACCACAAGGCCCCACAATTTATACACTTACACACATCTGTGATATCAGCCCAAGTCTTCTACCATCCTTGTGAGCAGTCTGGTCACACAACAGCTGCTCATTGTCCTACAACAATGTGTGCTTTTGGGAGCACATTAGCCAGTGTTTCACATTACAAGACACTACCCTACACTCTTTGTTTAAATAGATTATTATCATCGGCATGGGCCTATGGCCACCCACCCAGAGCCCAGTTCTGCTCAAGGTTCCTACCTGTTAAAAGGGAGTTTGTCCTTGCCGCTGTTGTCAAGTGCTTTCCCATGGTGTAATGGTGGGTTTTTTTTTTAATAGTACAGTCTAGACCTGCTCTATAATAAAAGTGACCTGAGATAACTTCTGTTATGATTTGGCACTATATAAATAAAACTGACTTGACTTGACATTTCTAACCTCTTGGACAGGCTTGATAACCTTGCAATGAAAATATAGCTAAAGGGCACGGCATCATCCTCAAGAATACTTCAAGGGAAGAAAGGCCTGAAAGCTTAAAACAGATCCCTGAATGGGGGGCAGAGCATTAATATATTTACCAAGTTAACCTATTTTTTACTATTGCTGCTTGTATGGGTCTGCATTCAATGATTGTGTCAGGCCAGTCAAGAACTGATAACTGTCCATGATGCAAATGACACTGAAATGACACTAAGGGCTGATTGTGGTGAGCTTGGCTGGGGGCACCACAAGGCCATCTGCCAGTGTTGTGACGGGCACCCTCTGGACCAGCTGTGACTCGGACTGACTACAGCCCACTACGAAGAGCACAGACACTGTCTATGGCTGCATACGTAATGTGCGTTGAGAATGAGACCACACTGGAGCTTCTGCTGCCCAAAAGGGGTGTATGCTATATATCAACAGCCACATTGTACAGTTAAAGTGTTAAACTGGCAAAGAGGCTCAGACTTAACTTGTGAAATGATCTATGATGTGATCTGTGGTGTTCTTCTCGGCGTAGATTCCACAAGAGATTCTGCTCCATGTTGACATGATTGTCAGTCAGCTGCACATTTATGCTGCCAATCTCTTGTTCTACCACATCCCAAAGGTGTTCTACTGATTCAGATCTGGTGGCCAGTGAAGTACTGAACTCAATGTCATTTTCATGAAACTTTTGCTTAGAGACATGGTGCGTTATCATGCTGAGAGATGGCCATTAGAGGATGGATAAATTGCAGCCATAAAGGGATGCACATGGTAAGCAACAATACTCTGATTGAGACTGTGGCATTTAAACCATGATTGGTTGATATTAAGGGGCCCAAAGTGTGCCAAGAAAATTCCCCACACCATTACACCACCACCAGCCTGGATTGCTGGACTGCATGAAAATCCCAGGAGATCAACAGTATCAGAAATATTCAAACCAGCCGTCTGGCACCAACAATCATGCCACAAAGTCATGGAGATCACATTTTTCCCTCATTCTGATGTTTGATGTGAACATTAACTGCTGACCTGCATGATTTTTTATATATTTCTATGTAGTAGCATAAGCATAAGTAAACCTATTTTTTGTTCTTATGTAGAAGAACTTTAAAATATATCTGTTTTTTTTTGTTTGTTTTTTTTTTCGCCCCATTGTATTATGAGCTGAATCATCTGTCTACCTGTAAGATTTCTCTGCCGCCGAACATGGTTTCTTGCTGTGCACAGGTTGAGGTGATTGTCACTTGACAAGGGCTTTGGTCGTCATTATGTTTACAAGACATGTCACAATACGCCCTCTGAGCAGCGCTACCTCTTCAGGGCAGACTGGAGTCTACAGTGACTCGCTTTCGGAAAGTAACTAGATGGACCGGGGCTACCCGGTTAGCGTGCTAACTTCAGTAGAAGAAAAGACGGGATTGATACAAGAGTTAACACTGCTGGACACAGCTCTTGGCAAGTAAAGGGTTGAGGTTTGATGCTGAACTCGCAACGTTTCCTTTAGGACAGTAAGTAAACAGCTGTTAATGCTAACGCTGGCTATGTTGCAATAGCAAAACTTACAAATAGCAATACAATACAATACATGAAATACAACAAAATTTAAAAAGCCCTCCTTAATATTAGGAACGAATGAATGCACCACCCTAACCTCCCATTGTCTTGGTTTAAGAGGAAATGCTACAGGAGTAAAAACAAAGCATGTTCCCACAGGTTATTATTGTTACAAGCAGAAGGAAGTTACAGGATCTCACAGCTGCTTGCAGCAACATGGTGAGACTCATATCTGTCTCTGCCTCTTCCTCATGTTCAGTCTCAAACCTGAGCGCCCAGTCCATCTGTCTTGCACTCTGTTTCCATGGTAGCAGACGGGAGGTTTTAGGTTTTCACACATTATCAGAGACTGCAGTGTTGTTCAGAGCTATGAATCCATACAGTTACTTTCACTATATCATACTCATATCCAAATAGTGAGGCAAAAATCACAAATCAGTTTGTGCCTCTTCTTTTCTCATGACACACCTCATTGGGAAATACTTCCTTGTCATATTTCTGTCAACATTCCTCAACAATCCTTTGACATCTTTTGGCATTTAGTATTTCTATCTCTTTACATTAGTGTTACTACTCAAAATAAATGCAACACGCCAATGGTTTTATCTGGATGTGTTCTGAGGTGGTATGGGAAAAGCTCAATGCTCCACTGAACTATTTTCTGCTGGTTTGTTTCACACTGCTGCAGGTTAACAGAATGCTTGACATTTTCCCTAAGGGGGGAAATGTTTAAATTGTCTATCTGTTCAAGTGTGTTACTCATGTTTAGGCACAGCCTTGCCTTTTTTTCAGGTTAGGTATGCAGCACTATAAAGGTTGTTGAGAAATGTGTTGTGCTCTAATAGAACGGCTAATACATTGTTATTATAAATGAATCACAGCTACAGCATGGAGCATGTGAACAGAGGGGCTTTCTTTTTTAGAGTAACAACTGGCTGTAAATCAGCACTGATTAAACAAATCATCAGTCCTTCAGATGATCACACAGCAATAATAGCTCCAACTTTTGTTTTGAGAAGTTACAGTTTCTGGCAGAAACACATCTTCTTCCTCAAAGTCTAACAAAAGACATGAGATAAATAAGGAGTCCCTTTAAAACAAGTTGTAATGGCACCAAATAGGTGTGTCTACTTATCTGTCTAACAGAATAATATCAGAATGACCGAATAATCACAAATATTCATAGATACATTAAGAAGAGAAACATTATGGCATGTTATGGAAACAAAAAATCTATCACTGTCAAAATATATCTGAAATGAAAGTAGTTGTAG